TGTTGCAACGAAAAAAATATAATAAGGCGCCGTTGGAAACAAGAAAAACAATAATTTTGCAATAATTACCATAATTTTTCTACAATTTGAATGTATTTAATGTATTAAACATATCTAATTCAAATTTAAATAAAAGTTTAATTTAAATTAACGACGGCAAATAACGCTGCGGTAATAATATCGCGTACACGAAAGTAAAAGAAATATAAATTCTAAGACTATATGTAGAAATTTCATTCGGCATTAGAAATACTTTCATATTCAATTTAAAAAATAAAAATGAAACGAAAAACAATTCATCCACGATAACCGAAGGGCGTAATGACGATCATAATGGGTGATAAACCCACCTCGCCTTCGATTAGTGACGTATCTGCGGCCATTATCGATAAATCGACCTGATTGCCGACCGCGCTATCTCGATCAGTGAAACTTGCAAAACAATAAATCGGACTTATTCTATAAAAAGATGCTACTGTAAATAAAAATGAACATTCAAATACGATAATCGGTTGAAATTTATCGACACCTGTTAATATTTACAGCTCGTTATGTGCATATTTAATTGGATATTTAAATTGCACGAATAAAGCTATCTAGCCCGTTGTTCTGACTAATAATTCACTGCTTATTAACAACTTGAATTACAATAAAATACAACGTAATCTTGATTCGATTAAGAATAACGAATAATGGAAAACGTTCACACAACAATGAGCAGTTATATGGAACCATTATATTATAATAAACATATTATTTAAATGCATGCAAATGCATTACAACCTTTTATTCAGACAGTATGCAACGTTCGGAAATTGCAATAAATTAGCGGATCTAGAAATTTATATGAGCAATATAGAATATATTTATAACAAATCAGCGCTTACTAGCGCTACAGTAAACCGGTCAAAGATGGAAGACATCTGGTACTGCGATCGTCGATCCGCCTGACTAAGCTTAGACAAGAGAGAATTTTCTTCTTAGAGAAGTTTCAAGGCTGATTAAGAAGAAGAAATCACCGCGTAAAAATGCAATTTCTTTTCATTTATGCTGGCGCGGTTTGAATCCGCGTCTCTTTCTTGTCCCTATGCAACCACCACCTGCACTAACGCCTTTCTTATAAAACTACAAACTACATAAAGAACGAACTATTTATTTGATACACAATTCAAGAAATATTCAAACGCAAGGGGCAAAAATTTGCATGCACAAGTCTAAGACTGCTTACGTATCAAAAATGATTAAGAATCAATACATGCACATCGTTAATTAATAATGACACAAAAGCAACCAAATTTAAAAAGAATTTAAAATTAAAATTTGGCTAGAATGGTCTAAAATTTGAATAGTTCTCCAACTCAACTTAATGCTGCAAAGGCAGCGCTGGTTTTTAGTTGGAGCCTTGTGACTTCACTGACAAATGACAGTTTTGTGATAAATTAGTAGTTCGACATTTATTAACAGCTTTAAACAGATAACTTTAAGTAGGAAATATTCATCAATACATTCCATCGAGACAGCAGTGAATACAAATGGACGAATTAAAAATTAGAGGCAAAATAGTAATTTTTACTAAAACAGTTTTTTTTCTCCATTAGTAAAAGATAAAATCAGCATTATTTATTAACCTTTGTTTCAAAATTATCAGTAGAAAGATCTACAACATACATAGTGCATAGGTTTTACTAAAATTCATATTTATAACGATAAGATTAAATCCTTTTAAAATAGGTTAATTATAAATAAAATATGACTTATTTTAAATATTTTCTCTTTTTAATATTCTACATACCCTTCATAGCGAAACCAATTTTAAACTAATGTAAAAATTCGATAAACAGTAATTACTCTAACTTTATTAAGTATGCATCAATACCAGTATGAAGGCCGAATTTTCTTATCTATTTATTTATTTATCGAGGCATACAATTATATTCATTTCAACAAAGGTGTTTCGAGATAATGGTCAATTATAGGAACGCGTATCGATAATGACATCTGTCGATAGTGTCGTGTCACTAGCACACACATGTCGTATCACACGGCCAGGTGAAGTAATTGGCCAGGCGGGACAAGGCATACTGTGTGTATGTTTGTTTTTAGATTGCTGCGAAACTTGTGACCTACGGTTCACTTCCTTCACATAAACTCGAATTATGAACTTGAAAAAAGAAACTAGACTAGTAAGATAACCTGTATTAGTCACATAATAAATAAACTAATAGTTACTTTAGGTATGGCAGGTGAGTTGGCACTTTTTGAGATGATATCACAAAATGATGCTGCCTATCCTGTTTTCTTTCCTACCATCGTCTTTTACGACATCCACAGAGTACCTACTCGCGGTAGCGGATTCCCTTACACCACTACACGATCTGACAATGTAATGTATTAAAAATAACCTGCAGATGACCTTGACTAGTCATTCGGCTTGATACAAGAATATATATATATTTATAGAATAAGGATGACAAACGAGCACACAGTCCACCTGATGGTAAGTGGTTGCTGTGGCCCATAGACATCTACATCTATCTTCGTTTGCGAATTAAAATGCAGTTGCGTTGTCAGCGGTGAAGACTAAGATAGAATGCCTCTTTTCCAGTAACAAGGGTCTCCGGTTCCCTACACTCACCATACGAAACACAGCAGCATTAAGCTGCTATTTTACGCTGGTATTCACTGAGAGCGTGGTCCTTCCCCGGTCGAGCCGACCCATTCGTGCTACAACTATACTCTTAATATAGCTGCAGCATGGATCTACCACGTAAGAATCTTGCCGCTTCTTCTCACAAGGTCTCCCCACAGTAGGAATTTGTTGAAGCGGTGGCGTGACGTTTTACTTTCAAAACGTGCTTTGTAAAACCAACTTTGAATAAAAATATTTAATAAAACTATTTTTTACGGATATTATCGCGTTTAATTTACTATTTTAATTCCCGACGTTAAAAAACTGAAGTTAGCTAACTGTGACATCGGGACGTCAAACATCTCAGTCCCCCCCCCCCCCCCCCCGTGACCATGGGTTGCTGTAAAGCACCCGAAGTGTCGGGAATAGAAATAGTAAATTAAACGCTACAAAATCCGTAAAAAAGTAGTTTTATTCAATGTGTAGGGTTCGCGTAAATATAAGAAATCATTATGAAAAACATTTAACTTTGACTATATCAACTCATGGACTCAATGAAGTAAACGTTTCTAAGCGCTTAAATCTACTTCTTATAAAAGCTGTTAAAGACCAAGCAAAAAAACCCGTGTGAGAGAAATTTTGTTTACTATCCTATTAATATCACTACCGCCCATCATAAGTCTACTGCTGCGACTAGGCCTCCCCATAGATCGCCATATACGGTTCTAAAGTGCTGAGTTACCTGCATCAATCGATTACCTGCGTATTTCATCAGGTCGTTACTCTATCTTTTGTTCGTTATCGTTGCCTAAAATTGCGTTTGCCAGTACGAGGCTGCAATTCCAGAACTTTCCCTTGTAGTGGCGATGTAAGAATATCTACTACCCATATCCTCATCCCAAGATCGCAAGAGGTGACGGAGGAATTTATCCGAGGGTTAACCAGAGGGTTTACCTGGAAATGGGCAGCAGCATCTTCTTAAAAACAGCTGAATAGAAGTTAAAAACTACGATTACTAACCAGCTTGCCAACTGTGGCATAAATCCCTCGATGAGAGTTGTTTACTACTTAATAAAAATTTCAAATAAAATAAACCTTAAATCCATTATTAATAGATTACATTTTCCATAATCCGTCATTGACCCCGCACAGCTTCCCTATCGGAAATTTGATTTGTCACGTTATGAAACACGCCTATTTTCAATGCGCGTTCTGGAATATAAAATCAGTTTACTTTGAATTGTATTGTAACGGAAGTAAGTCGATTTTAGCGTGCATATATGTAATAATAGTACATAATACATGACGTTGTTTTGATAATACAAATTTTTACATAGTCTACATAGAGATAAGAGCTTAGGGGCGTAACTCGGTGTAAATTTCGCAATACGCAAACAATCCGGGTTCAATCTCCGCCGGCTCTAATGAAATTGTTAATAGCAATTTTAAGTACCTACTTACCACGAGCTCCGCTGTGTGAAGGAAAATATCGTGGATAGACCTGCATGTATGAGAAAAAATATTTTTAAAGAATACGGGTGACAAATGAACACCTGACGGTAAGCGGATGCTGTGGCCCATTGACAACTACATTAATTCTCGATTGAGAATGAAAATGTAGATGCGTTGTCACCCCTGAGGGATAAGACGGAATGCCTCCTTACCAGTAAAAAGTGTCTCCGGTACTCTATTTTCACAGAGTTGCATTAAGCTGGAATTTGACGCTGGTGTTCTACGAGAGCGTAGTCCTGGTAGAGCCCACCCATTCATGCTACAACCATAATATAGCTGCAGTGTGGCTTTACCATGTATTATATTATTTCGTTCGTTCTTATTTCAAATAAATGGTAAGGTTTGTGGTCTGTGTTTCGTATGGTGAGTGTAGAGAACCGGAGACCCTTTTAACTGGAAAAGAGGCATTCCATCTTAGTCCTCACGGTTGACGACGCATCTGCATTTTGATTCTTTATTGAGGATAAATGTAGATGTCTATGGGTCACAGCAACCACTTACCATCAGGTGGACTGTGTGCTTGTTTGTCACCCTATCCTATAAAAAAAATAGTTAAAACCTTGTGACATGGCCTTTTAATAGTGTAGTGGCGGTGTAAAAAATAGGAATATCCACTACCCCATATCATCCCGTGAGTACAGTAAGATGTGACAGAGGTACACTGTAACAGGAAATGGGCAGCAGTGTCTTCCTGACAACTTAAAATAATAAAAAAAAAATACGGTTGCGATACCGCCTGCCAAGCGTGGCGACTATGGCCGAATTGCCACATTGAAACAATCCATGGGGAAGGCCTATGTTCAACAGGGGACTTTTTTATATGTTTGGTATGTTAACAAATCATGTTTCCTTGTTACAGTGGTCATGCACAAGGAGAAGGAAGAACTCCACGCGCACCGACGAGACCACTCACACTATGACCACATCATGCCGGACGGGGAGATGTTCTTACAGGTAATGATAATAATAATAATAAAAATTTTTTTTATGTATTTATTTTATTTTATTCATATTTATGTATGTTTACCATTTTCATTTACAATTATATATTTATACTGCCCAACCAGATGAGAAAACTTTATAGATACCCCAAAAAAAAAATAATTTATTAACTGCTCCAGTTTACCGTGTAGTGGCGGTGTAAGAATATCCACTACCCCATATTGTTCCGTGGGTGTCGTAAGAGGCGATAGAGGGTAACAAATCAGAAGATGGGCAGCTGCATCCCCCTAATAATAACTAAAAGTAAAAAACTGCAGTTGCCAACCCGCTTGCCAAACGTGGCAACTATGGCAAATAACCCCCTAATGAGGCAATCTATAGGGCCTATGTACAGTAGTGGACTTTAATAGGCTGTAACGGTAACGTTACCCAAGCATGTTTACATAGCTGCATTTAAAATTTACTAGGTGGTAGGGCTCTTTCTTTTTTCTTTCTCCTTTTTAAAAACGCTTACTAGAATTTTGCCTTGTGTCGTGGAGGCAGTTTACAAACATAAATTGTACAAGGACAAACATCCAGACCCGGAACGATTATTTGTAGGCCATTCAAATACTTGCTCCGTGCGGGATTTGAACCCGCGGCCTTCAGTGCGGCCTCAATGCTAAGCGACTCTTACCAATTGTTGCCGCTAAGCAGCACTGTGTGCACTGCTGTATTTAGGTCTAAAGGGTATAGAGGGCCTGCATAATTGAAGGCTGTGAGGCGTTCCATCTCTGTACTCCGGGACATCAACAGATATGTAGCATTATTTGTACAAAGCTGGTAGCGGATGTCCATGGGCTGCTGTAACCACAAAATGGATTGTAGATTCGTTAGTTACTTCATTATTATAAAACAAAGGCTGTGTGATCGTATTATTGAAACATATAGTTACAAAATAATGCTAAGTTTATCTATCCCTAAGTTTAAAAAAAAATTAAGATTGTATAAAAGGGTTACAGTTCAAGGTAAAAGTAAGGATTAAGAGTTAAAGCAACTGGGTCGGTTGATAATAACGCTACCATTTTTAATACGATGTAGTTCATAGAAGAAAAAAAGGTCCCTCTTGATTTCTCTCTGGTTCTTCCCACCACATGGAAAACTCCTTCTACACACCAGTTAACACTTATCAAATAAGCCCAGGTAAAGTGCAAACTCACTATTATATTTTAGTTTGTTCCTTATCTTTTTTCGCAACTATTGCACTAAGACGATAAATTAAAGCGGTTTGTTCGATAATAAATCAATAGCGAGCGCTAAAGCCATAAATAAATGCAACCAACCAACCTGCATTTAATACTTCACCGTTTCGACTCACCGTCGTGCGCGACTCCAATGTCAGACACGGTACGATAAGCTGACATTAAAATACGATAAGGTTATGTTAATCATCGTTGAAGTTTTGATTTACTATGGCGAGACGACATTAAGTAAATGTTGTCGTTTTTAAATGCAAAGTATCAGGATCTTTTGACGGTTTCAATATCTTTACGCAGTTCACTAGTCTATTATATCAGTTATGTTGTATATTTTAATACAACATGTGACAAAAAACCCTATGAATCCATTATGTGAGTTATCAGAATACGTATTCAAACATCTAAACATCTATATTATCATTTATTAAAATTTTAATAAATTTTAATTTGCTAATTGTATGTGGTTTTGTTACCTGTAACAGAAACACGCACACGTGTGTAACTGCACGAGGGCGCGCGTTTGTGTGTGTGTGTGTGTGTGTGTGTGTGTGTGTGTGTGTGCGTGTGTGGCTTCTAGACCACGGTGGCTGGTGTCGTCAGTGTGCGTAAGCATTGGTGTACTCTTTATTGCCTCATTATCATAGACCACTGGTACGATGATCGGTCGTGCCCGGAGAGAGGATGTAGGACCAACGGCTTTACGTGTTTTTCGAGGCAATGGGGTTAAACACGCCACTTCATGGATCCGGGCTCCTACTGATAATTTTTCGACAGATAAACCCGTCCCGACCCCTGAAACGAACCCAGGCAGTATTTACAAATACTTACTTCATGGCCCGAGCTGCTTCCTGCGAGCTCGATTTCTAGAACCGTTTTATATTCTTCTATATTATTTCTGTACTTAGATTCTCCACTCACAGGTTCTTCTACTTCAAACCCTTACAACCCTTTTAAATAAATTTAGCTAATGATTAGTATCTGGTACAAACTCAAGAAATACATATTTTCATCAAATACGTATTCCTTTTTTCTTAAACAGCACCCCAGCTAAAGAAGAACTAAGAGACTAATTAATGGTTATATTATACAAATACGCTAAACAGAACAAAAGACCAAAAATAGACAAAAAACCACAACAAAAGACCAAAAAATAAGATAGATGAAACTCTACGTTCATTTCAAGTGATGCTGAAACTCAATTCAATTTATTAACATGTACTTACGCAAACATATTGTTTTTTTTTTTACTTTTACAGCCCGTAAAATTACACTGCTAGACACTCACACACTATACACGCGAAACCAAGTTTAGTTTACAATTATTTTAGACTCATATGTGCGTGGGTTCGTGTTCTGACATTAAGTTGAGCATGGTTTTGGCTTAGTTTTGGCATCACTTGAAATGTACGCTTTAAAGTTAATTACTTAACTTCTACTTTAAGAGTCATCATCATCATCATTACAGCCCTTCACAAGTCCACTGCTGAACATAGGCCTCCCCCAAGGAATACCGCAAAAGAGATTCAAGAGTCGAGAATAACAAAAAAAATTGTTTTCGTCTAACGCGTATGTTTATGTCTTATATATTTTCTTTAATCTATTGAATTCGTGTCGGTAGTCAATGGACAAAACATAAGTTATGTATATTGACGAGTTGCCTCGTAACTCAACCGCGAATCGGGTACTTCTTGGGAAATTTCAAGGAAACTTCCCGAAAACAATTTCTGTTTTGTTTCTTTTCGAATCGTTTGGATTTCAAATTCCGTTATGAATAGTGCATTAATTAGGTACTACTCTTTTTGTTTGTAGCTTGTTATAAAATTCTTTGCGTGATGTTATGGATGCCATTAAGTGGGATTTTCTGTCACCTCTCATCGTCTTATTGAAAAAACATTTAAAAAAAATTTATAATGATGACAACAAAGTCAAATATTTGTTTGTGAACGTTCTCTTTTTGATTTTAGTTAATCAAAAAAAAAAAGTTCGTTAACAACATACTCAACATTTAAAGAAAAATATAGATTAACTCGCATGTCTATCAATTTGCATTGGAACTGCACGGGCGATACTTTTTAGTTCAAAGTTTTCTTAGATACAATGCCTGTGTCTAGAATGCACACATTTTGACCAAGATTTCAGCTCAAGATCCATGATTAGACAGCTGGTTATTCTTTTACAATCGTTGAAGTTAAGCTTTTATTTTTCAGGCCCTCAACGGTTTTCTGATGATCTTGACATGCGAGGGAGAGGTATTTTTCGCGACGCATAGCATCGAAAGCTACCTCGGCTTCCATCAGGTTGGTATTGAAACAATATAATTTGTCACTAAAATTTATTATTTTTATGTGTTTAATACTCGTATATTTTTTTTTTATAGGATACGGGTGACAAACGAGCACACAGTCCACCTGATGGTAAGTGGTTGCTGCAGCCCATAGACATCTACATCTATCCTCTATTACAAATCAAAATGTAGATGCGTTGTCACCCGTGAGGACTAAGATGGAATGCCTCATTTCCAGTAAAAAGGGCCTCCGGTCACCTGCACTCACCAAGCGAAACGCAGAGGTAAGCCTCTACTTCACGCTGGTTTTCTGTGAGGTCGTGGTACCACCCCGGTTCGAGCCGGCCCATCCGTGCGACAGCAAAAGCTGCCGCGTGACTCTACCACTGTTGAACTTATTCTACTATGACTATCTTTTTTAGGGTTCCGTACCCAAAGGGTAACCAACGGGACCCTATTACTAAGTCTCCGCTGTCCGTCCGTCCGTCTGTCTTTCAGCGGGTTGTATCTCATGATCCGTAATAGGTAGCCAGTTAAAATTTACACAGAATGTGTATTTCTGTTGCCGCTATAACAACAAATAATAAAAATAAAAATAATTCAAAAATTAAGGGAGTTCCCCTACTAGAAACGAGTATTACAATGGTACGGAACTCTTCAAGCGCGAGTGCGACTCGCACTTGGCCGGTTTATATCCTTTACTTTATTTGAGCAGTTCTTACATCATGTACATATACAATATTATGATGGAAATAGTTTTTACGTGTTTTATTGCATATTATATTAAATTATTTTATATTCCTGACGTTTCGAGCACTTTACAGCACCCAGGTCACGGGTGGGACTGAGGTGTTCGTCATCCCAATGTCATCGTTAACCATGGCTACCTTCAGATTATATTATTAATTTTTTGGCCCGATCTACGCAGTATGGTTGATTTATTTTTTTTATAAAAATTTACCTATAATTTCATCCAAATTGATGTCGTTCTCAAAAAAATGTTTTTTCTAATGCCGCGCAAAGTTCAGTAGCCTATGGTCGCCCTGCTACTAAACTAAGTATAAAAAAAAAAACAATACTTGTAGTTCTACATTCTAAATCGATTTTTTTTTTAAACAAAAACTACTTGCTGCCCAAAAGTATATAGATATGTTATCATTCTAGTAGCTTAAGTCCTTGATCCTTCTAAATTCAGTTTAAGTCCGTGTATAGTTGCAAGTGTTTTGTACTAATACCTTTCCGCAATTAATTATATAAAAAACAAACGGTACATGTACCTTCCACTTCGATGTTGCCATACTACGCGTGTTCCGTATTTTTTTAACTTAATTAATTATAACATTTGCCTAGGTAAAAAATGCCCCAATTTCTCAAATAAATGATTCGACCACTGCGTTGAATTAATCAACAAAAAATACGATATACCGCAGCCTGGGGACGAATTTTAACAATTCTACCGGCCACGGCGACTCCATAAAAATATTAATTACCGCGATAAGTGTACTTAAAACGAGTTTAACTTTCACTAAACTACCCTCCGTTTATCGGCAAAAGGTTTTTTATCGCACCCTTATCGCCAAATGGAATAAAACTGCTAAAAATTGCTTCGACGTAGTTTTAGCCCGTTCACGTCCACCATTTCGAAGCGTTTGTTTTTCTTTGTTTTCTATGTGAACTGCTTTACTCGATTCGAAATAAAAATTGTTATATTAATTTTTAAAGCATCGATACAAAATATTACATTTATGTTATTCGAAAACAAGATTTTTATAAGAGACCTTAAACAAAATGAAATACATTTGGCATTCTACGAGCAATACAGACAAATTAAATAATCACTAAAATAAAAGTAAAAAAAGAACATAATAATGCGTACAGCAAAGGAATGGAATAATTTGCCGGCGTCTATCTTTCTATCTGAATACAATATGGGCGTCTTTAAGGCAAGAGTGAATAGGCTTTTGTCAAGATAAGACAGTGGGATTTGTCACCTAGGGCTTCATCACCACTTATCACCAGGTGAGATTGTGGTCAAGAACTGGTGGGTTATAATAAGTAAGAAAATAAATAATAATCAATACCAGAATACAATTTTCGAGTAATGTCAACATTCATACCATGGTTGTGGTATGATGCAGCAAAAGGTAGTAATTTCGTACGTGGTAGAGCCATGCTGCAGCTATATTAATAGTATAGTTGTAGCACGAATAGGTCAGCTCGACCGTGGAAAATGGCAGCTTCATGCTGCTGTGTTTCGTATGGTAAGTGCAGAGAACCGAAAACCCTTTTTACTGGAAACGAGGCGTTCCATCTTAGTCCTCACGGGTGACAACGCATCTGCGTTTTAATTCGCAAACGAGGATAAATGTAGATGTCTATAGGCCACAGCAAACACTTACCATCAGTAGAACTGTGCGCTCGTATGTCACTCTTATTCCATAAATTAAAAAATTAAAATTCGCTTACCGCTAAAGATCCGCGTAATAAAATAAAAATATCTGTCTTACTTAGTTTGAAGAGCATCTCCTGCCCTCACTCAGTTGCGTGCACTATTCCCATCACCAGTACTCCCAACACCACTACACACAACACAACGCCGTCGATAATAAGACACGTGTTTTGCCTATAAACAAGGCATCATCAGGTGAAGTAGACTGCGATTTCTGACCGCTAAGTGATTGAGCTAAGTATTGCTGAGAGCATAAAAACCTCTTTGTCCAGCACGTCAGCAGTTCACGTTTATATACTGATAGCGAAAATGTGTAATCTTTGTTTTTTCGAAAAAAAAGTCAAATGATGTCTTAACACTTACAATTAAAAGGCTTTCTTTGTCAAAACTGGAAAAAGTAATGCCTTTCTTCGATAAAATTTGTATCACCAGTTACTAGGGTACTTCGATTTACCATTCAACGTCGAAACTAAACCTTTTGCTGATTGATAAACTACTCACCAAAGTGCAGTGGCTAAATTACCCGACTTCAATATATATTATTAAGGATAACTCAAAAACTATTGGTCAAACCTTGATCAAATTTATATGGGCCCACATGAGAAGCACCAGCTTTTAAATAAAAAAAAGAATCATCAAAATCGGTTCACGTAGAACAAAGTTATGTGGTAACACACATAAAAAACATACAGTTGAATTGGGTACCTCCTCTTTTTTGAAGTCGGTAGAAAATTAGGGCTATTTTATCGCTAGTTTTACGCCAAATCAGATACAGAATATGCTACATTTTGATTTTATCGCATGGCATCGTATCCAAATTTATTTTTTATAACATAAACGAGCTGACACTCTACTTGATGGTAAGTAGCTACTGCAGCCCATGCACAACTACATCTAACCCTAAAAAACACTTATACGCTGTCCTTGTCTCCCTTGAGGATAATCGGCAAAGCTCCTTAGCCTTCAATCATACCGGCTTATAATCTTCAAACCGGCACAGTTACAAATGCACTGCTGATTGGTAGCTAAATAAGTAGGAATGTTGTAGCTAATCAGACAGACAAAACGAAACTTTTTTTATATATAAAAAAGTTACCCCCACGCTGAAATTTTCTCCTGTATCGTGGAAACAGTTTAAGTACTTAAATTGCACAAGATCAAGCATCCAAACCCAGAACAATTATTTGTAGACCATACTCAAGCTTCGAACCCGCAGCCCTTAGCGCAGTCACTGCGCCATAATAATAAATTATTTAAAAAAGACTTTATTCCCACACCATGATTTTGTCCTGTGTCGAAAAGGTATTTTACAAATATCAATTGCACATGTACATTTATCCAGAGCTGTATTTATTGTAGCCCATACAACTAATACATATGATTAGTGTAATATTTGAAATCTCTTACGCTAATAAAAGTTGTAAAAAACAACCTGCAAAGGAACACAAGCGTGACAAAAAACTCCAAGCACATTAAGTCGCTCGTTAATAAATGCCCTTCGCAATACAGTTAATAAAGTCACAATGAAATATTACTGTCAAAGGTAGAAACCCCATTTCGGCACAAATCCGACCCCACGCCATAAAACTTTCAGTCGAAAACAATCTTACATAAATTTTATTTCCTCTACCCTCCAGTTCTATGGCCGCCTTTGTTTTGTATACTGCCAGCTATAGCCGAATAATTCGGTTACCTGTGCTTTACTGTCGCCAAAGATTACGTCAAGAGTAGATGAGCAGGACCGTTGCAAAAAAGAAATAATTCTTACCACTGTATTCAACGAGTCTACATACGAGTTTTATGAGTGTTAAACATTGTAATTAAGAGTTAATTTTACTTTGGATGAACTCAATCAAAATCCCTAAAAATAAATCAAACATTGGCATCAGTTGTTGTTAGACTCATTTCTAAATAGACAATATTATTATCATTCAATTGTTAAGCTTTACCATATCCAGTTATTTCACTGTTACATAATTTACATATTTCAGTAGTTAATAAAGAAGGTAGTTGATAAAAAATGACAGTCATCGCATCTTTCCCCTTTGATGTAACTAAAATACACTGGGTGTCATCCTCTCAATAATATGAGTTAGAAAAAACCAGGCTAGAAATGTGCAACACCATGTTATTATATCTTACGGTCACGGGGTAAGAGAGTCCATTGTCCCATTTCTTCCCGTGTGTGTAGTAACAGGTTGCTATGGGAAACACAAGAAAAATCTTTTGACGTCCGATAGATAATAAAATAATACTTTTTTAATTAAAACTAATTTTACGGATTTTATCGCGTATATTAATCTATTTTTATATTCCCGACGTTTAAAATAATACTTATAACGATATCTTCTACGTCATACGTAAATAACACATAGCAAACCGAGCGAATGGGCAACCACATCGAAAGTCAGAGACCATTGTGATTGTCAATTTGTCTGCAAAGCGTGGTGATTAAAGCAAATCCTCCCTGCACCGGGATAAACTCGTGTCCGGCAGTTGACTTTTACGGTCCAATGAAGATATTATACTCGTACCGTATTCTTATAACCATGTTTGAGAAGTGTGGTCCCACAAAATTGCTAATAATTTTGTTTACATTTATGCCTACGTAGACGTCTACCTTCTATTCAATATTATACACATAGTAGCTCACCGCAGGGGTGACTCTCGATTAAACAAATCGATTTTGAAATCATTAAATCGAGCCGGGTACTTGCCGTTTCCTGACGGACGCCACGTGCCCGATCACGAGTAGGTAATAGTCATATAAACAGCTGCACAGTTCACATTCTATCATTCCCATCAATAATATTAGAAGACCATCTGCGATGATCTTTGATGCTATGACCATATCTAAGTTTTTAAGAATAGTCCAAATTTTATTATTATCTTTGTCAAAAGACGCAAACTGAATAATTATTCTTGGTGCGAGCCTCAGTAGGTATAAATATATCACGTGGAATTTTCCTATGTGAACGTACTTGTCTGAAAAGAAATAAGAAATTACTCGGATATGTGAAGTTCACCAATTCCCCTAACGACGTGGTGATCCATCCTGAATTATCCGTGACTTTTTAAAGAAGTGATTCTATAGTCCCACAAAATTTATTTATGTTTTTGTCCTTGCATCTCTGTCACAACATATAGTTGTTTTTTAACATTGGTTTGGAGACGATATCGCCATTTTTTTCTCAAAATGTGGAACACGAACATTAACTTCATTAATTACAGGCTAGTTTTCTGAGGTCACAATGCGTCTGTAGCCTTCTTTGTATGAAGTTCGTTGCAGTTGCTCATAAGTAGTAGTAGCCACTGAACTGTCTGTAAGTTCGTTTGTCACTTCAACTTTATAGACAAAAACCTTGAGAAATAGTGACATTTGGAAAACTGAAAATCGCCAGTGGGAAGTTAACAAAATAACAAAAACAGAAGTATAGAAACATATATTAAGTATGTTTTAAAACATATGTTTCAAATAAAGCGTAAATTAGGCTCCATTTGATTCACCTTGTAGTTAACTATGAAATCATTACCTTGCCATCGTAAAAATGGATCGAGGTGAATGCCACCTGGTGCGAAGCTTTGTATCTAATCTGACGCACGTTTGGGGTCTGTTAAAAAGTAAAAAATATAAAGCGAGGGGTGATATAATGAAATTACTCACGGTGATCATTAAGCATTCATATTGAAACCGAGCTTTTAAGTCAAAATTGTAAATTGAACGTGTTTTTTCATAAGCGAGTATTTAAAAATTAGTTTAAATGCAATACAAAAAATATTAATATGCTCTCAAACCATTTCGTATTTGAAAATTTGATAACAGCTTGTAGCTTACATTCGAATACACAGACAAATGTAGGATTTTTAATATACATTAAGGTATACATACATATATTATGTTACAGGTTATTAAGGAATATAACTATTACAATAAATGTTATTATTTCCAATGTTAGTTTTATAGCATATATGTATATTATATAATATTAAGAGGTAATTATAAGCATAATTCTTATTTAGTTTATTAGCATAGCTCTAATTACTATGAGGGCTTTTTCAGTAAATTTTACAATGCATAAACGTTAAGTAACAAAAAAAGAAAAATTAAAAATTAAATTAATATATTATTCTACTATCAATAAAAAAAATTAAAACATAAAACATAGAAAGCGGCCAATAAAAAAACTAAGCATCATCAATCGTATAGCTTGAATACAAAAGCAAACAATTGCCAAAACAATAGCGTATCAACAAAACATTATTCACTACCATAGCAACTAAATATCCGACCCCCTAACGCAGGGTACCAAAAGCAATTACCTAACAAATCATCTTCTGACATTTAATGCCATTGCAATATGTTTGAACCCACATTCTAACATTTCTCCAGAACCCCATTTCTAACTACATAAGGTTCACAAAGTATTTTGTTTACGTATGATTCATTTACATGACAGCTTTTTAAAGTAGGGGACCAAGTACTGCGCCTAGAGGTACCCCCATTGATTATCAATTAGTTTTGTACTTGCATCATTTGTTGTCAGCGTATTATCCGGATTATTTACACGAGCCTTTGTTACATGACGTGTGAAAATTCACATTTATAAATATTGCAATCGAAAATGTACCTTAAAGTGATTCATAAAGGCTTGCAGTTGCTTGGTAAGGAATTCAAAATTAACATGTCCATCTTCGTTACAGATGATTGTTTAATAATCGAGAACGAATTGATTTTTAGGGTCATTGACGGTTTATTGATTTACGGTTCAAATATGACTTGCTCTTTATACACTTATATATTTCCATTGCCGGTGAAATGTTTATCTTGTTACTGTGATTTAATTGGATATGATTAGTGTAATTACTACCTTATCAATTATTAAATAAATATTTAATAGAATCAGGAAATCCATTATATTGAAGTTGTTAGAACTTAATTTGCTTATTTCCGCGTAATGAAATAAAATGATTTGTCCTGCCCAGTATGAAGAGCACCTTTCACCACCAATCCCAGTACCACCACACTAGGAACGACACATCACCATCGATAGTACGACACCTGTTTCGCCTCTACTTGAAGCATCCTCAGGTGAAGTAGATTCTGCGGTGGCTGAGCGCTAAGTCTAACAACTTCAAAATAAATATTTATTTACATATTATAACAATTTTCATATAGCAATGACTAAAAACAGAACACTGACAGACAGGGTTGTGTGGCTTCCCCAATGGTTTTTCAATCTGTATATTATGGACAGTAACTTTGAAATTTAAAGGATATGAGTTAAGAATGATTGAGATAGCCGTTAAATGCCTCTTGTTAGACGACGATCAATACATATTCGCGGCGTCGGTGGACGAGTGGCAAATAACGGCTACATTAGTAAACATAGCACTAAAATAAAGGGGCATGAGAGTGAACGCAAGTAAAACAGAAGTCATGGTTTTTGAATGAGAAGAAAGTAGAACATTATGTAAAATTCGAGAAAAGAAAAAGAATAGAAAGGGATTTAGGAGTAAGTGGCTAAGTTTGTGTATTTAGATGTTTTTGATAATGATGGCAGAAAAAGCACGAGAGAAGAAAGATGTTACGGGTGACTTTGAATAATAGAGTGAGAAATTGTGTGATAAGAGAAAAGTGAAGTTTGCAAGATGGTATGAGTAAGATTGAGTTTATAAGAAAAGAGTGACAAAGAAAAAGTGGCGTAGTCAGCAATGGTCACCTTAGACGGAAATGTATTAACCAAATTAGCGAAATATTAAAGATGGGTCAAATGAAGCATATATACGTAGATATCGTAATTGGATGTGAAAGAAGCAAGGAAGGTGTGTCAGGATCGAGCCAATTGGAAGTCCGTAGTCTCTGCCTACCCTTCTGGGTATATACTAAGCTTATGTAACGTAACAAAAAAATTAAAATCGCCCGATTTGAACTTGGTAAATTTCAATTATAGAGGATTAGAGATTAAAGAGATCCGCTTGTTGTACAATATTTATTTATTTATTTTCATTTTACAGTCAGACATAGTCCACCAATCAGTTTACGAGCTGGTACACTCTGAAGACCGAGAGGAGTTGCAGAGGCAGTTGTTATGGAACTCCTTCCTATCCCCCGAAGCAAGCAACCTGACGCTTCAAGACGTTCTTCGACCAGAGCGAACGCACCTACTAGAAAGAAGTTTTACCGTCCGATTTAGATGTTTACTTGACAATACTTCTGGATTCTTGGTAAGTAAACTTATTAAAAATTACATTATCTAAATATATCATAAACTATCATCGTAATTATAATAATTAAACTAAAGTGATATTATATGCGCTGGAACCGACGAACACGAACATTTGGCGAATATCAGCGGATAGTGCGATACGAAACAAACGAAAGCTTATAATTAGGTAAAATAGGGTTTATATTGTATTGTAATAACTGTCATTTGCTAAATTGCCATACATAAGGAGTTGTATAGAGTCTGAAATTATGGAAATACAATTCACTCATACGTTAATGAACAACATAATCTATCAAGAAATAAGCCTTAACACAACAGCTTTCGTTTCAAAACGTTTCTATATCTACATTAAAAGAACTGTGACTATTATGGAATTTTACAAAAGGCCGTACATGTTGTTTATGATGACGTCTTCATTCTTTTAGTAATATAAAAACAGAACAACACGGGCACCGCCGTACAGGAAGGGAATAGCCCTTGCATTTTTCCCCGATACAGAACTGTTTGTCAACAACACGATCGTTATTATTGTAATTTTTAAGTTTAAAAACAAGTAAATAACAATAACGTGGATACAAGTTACTTATATATGAAAGGTAACGCCATCAACGTCTAACAACATTCTGCTGCATTTTTAAATTAAAAAAAAATGGATGATAAACGGACTTATATATTGTCGATATTCCACGCATTAGAACGGTCGCTTCGACTTTTGTAATGCGTACAGCAAAGGAGTGGAATAATTTGCCGGCGTCTGTCTTTCCGTCCGAATACAATCTGGGCGTCTTCAACGCAAGAGTCAATAGGCTTTTGTTGCACTAAGACAGTGCGATTTACCATCTAAGGCTGCATCACCACTTGCCACCAGATGGGAATGTGGTCAAGCACTATACCCTTTATAAGTGGTAAGTTTACGTGGTAGAGCCGTGCTGCAGCTATATTAGTAGTATAGTTGTAGCACGAATGGGTCGGCTCGACCGGGGTAGGACCACGCTCTCACAGAATACCAGCGTAAAATAGCAGCTTCATGCTGCTGTGTTTCGTATGGTGAGTGTATAGAACCGGAGGCCCATTTAAGTGGAAAAAAGGCGTTCCATCTTAGTCCTCACGGGTGACAACGCATCTGCATTTTGATTCGCAAACGAGAATTGATGTAGATGTCTATGGGCCACAGCAACCACTTACCATCAGGTGGACTGTGTGCTCGTTTGTCACCCTATATTATGAAAATAGGTAAAAAAACAAAACTTCTTTTTTGCGCCCAGAAGCAAATGAAAAGGGATACCCCGTTACGCGAGGAGGTGGTAAATGCTTTATGCATACCAGGACAGCCGGCTGTCGTTGTTATGTGGGACTAACTGTGACTACACTACCTAACACCTTAAGTGTACCCACTAAAAACCACCCGTGGGACTGGCATTATCATGGCAGCCTGTGGACACCTGCAACCAACAAAAAACAATGAAGGTTATAGACACGTTTCCACCTTTGAGAACCAAGATGGAATGTGTCAAAGCCTGTCACTATAGCGTCTCTCTATAACCTTCAGATCGGAAAATAACACTGCATGCACTCGTTCTTGGCGGCAGAAATAGGTTCCTACAACCTAGTATGTTTGTATTGTTACCAGTAAAAGCAGCAAAAACTTTATCACGGGATATATTCATCAACATCAGCCCCTTAGTAGTCTACTATTAAACTATATTATTTATCCATACATCTATACATGAAAATAAAAGTACATATTCTACTCCCAGTATTAAAAAACCTGACTGTGTAAAAAGTCTACTAAAAGAGAGAAAAATTCAAGTAATAGGGCTCAAAGTATAAAGTTTCTGTTCTAATGCATTGGCCATGTTGAAGCGCCTGCGTCTTCTTTCTGAGCAACGAGTTAAACAACGTACTCATAGAAATTACGTCAGTACAGAACGTTCATTTTAAACAGGTTCTTTGTCTTTTCAATATATTATTACCCTCTCAACTGTTGTGAGATTAATACAATCATCCAAGACCACATTCAAGATGCATTATTTTCAAATTCCCTTATACTCCCGATCAGGCCACTATGAATTAAAATCAAAACTGCAGGATCCAAAATCAGTGATAAAAAAATTCATACGCAAAAACTGTAACATTATAAATTAAAAAAAAAAATGTGACATTCTATTGTTAGACTTTCAATTGTTTCACATTCAGTATTTTTGAGTTAATTATGTGATCTGCATTTTGATTCTTAATCGACGACAGATGTGGGTGTCTATGGGTCACAGCATCAATTTATCATTAAGTAGACTGCGTGCTTATTTGTCATCCATATTCTATAAAAATAGACCTAACAAAGACTTAACTAAAATTTAACACACCAATTTCAGTAATTCACCGTAACGTTTATTGTTATATTTTAAAAAGATCCTTACGATTTTCTTAAACTGATAAATGTATTACTGTCTAACAGAGGCTGGACATCCGAGGACGCATCAAAGTTCTTCACGGCCAAAACAAGAAAACAGAAGAGCCTCCGTTAGCGTTATTTGCAATATGCGCACCCTTTGGCCCGCCCAGTTTATTAGAAATACCACAGAAGGAAGTCATGTTCAAGAGCAAACACAAGCTCGACCTTAGTCTAGTCTCAATGGACCAGAGGTAAGTATTGTCAAAATAGATAAATTATTAACAGTGCGTTGGTGGCGTCACAAAATCCATCACCACATATCGTCACGTGGTTGTCGTATAAGGTGATTATGGGAAATGTTGCTGCAGCTATATTACTGGTATAGCTGTAGCACGAATGGTTCGCCTCAACCGGGGAAGGACAACGCTCTCACAGAATACCAGTGTAAAATAGCAGCTTAACGCTGATGTGTTTCGTATGGCGAGTGTAGAGAACCGGAGACCATTTTACTGGAAACGAGGCATTCTACCTTATTCCTCACGGCTGACATCGTATCTGCATTTTGATTTGTAATCGAGGATAGATGTAGATGTCTATGGGCCACAGCAACCACTTACCATCAGGTGGACTGTGTGCTCGTTTATCACACTTATTCTATAAAAAAAGTAAAGGAAATAATCCGGAGATAGTTATTAATTTGTAGTGACAAAGTAGATTACAAATTAAAATTTAGCAGTTGAAACATCGGCCTTAACATAAACCGATGTATGTTCAAGTACATTTATATTTCCTGATAGATGAACTCTCTACATACATAATAAAGTTTATATAAAACCTTCCTGAGACCATAGTACGTGAGGGTAATTTAGGCATCCGGTTAATAAGGTCACTTTCTTATAACTCAAAAACTACAGCCTTGTTTGCATAGATTGCTCTCTGATACGATAGCTCTTCATCTGGCAATCCAATAATAAAGGGGTCAAAAGGGCGCTGCTTTATCCGCGCCATTTTGACAGTTGACATTTTATAGTAAATATTTAGGGTCGATTTTAGTACTGTGCAGTGTAGTTAGTTTTTTTAAATTTAATTTTAAAAAAGTTTCTAATAATTATCAAAGCTTGTTTGCTATTTTTTTCTTCATATATTAATTGTAGTATACGACTTTGTGTTTTTGTCTCTGTTTTCCTCCCAGTTTTGGTTTTATAAGGAGGCAAAGCTTAACTGACTTTATTACTCTCACGTACCTTAGTCCTACTCACTCTTCTGGTTTTATTTTACTATGCAACAAAACAAATAACAAAGCAAAATTTAATAATGCACTGAATACAGTTTTGTCGTGAAACTCCTACTCGGTCACTGTCAAAACAGTATATATCTCATAATTCCGTTATAAGGTAACAATAAAGAATATATTTTAAATAAAAAGCGGATGGAATTATAAAGAAACGCTATTGAACAATACTTTTTTTTTTACTAATACGATACTCCGTACAAAATGTATAATTGTTAAACAAGAGACGCGGCGTGGCCAATTCATTTATTGATACTTGTGAAGTTATGGGTTTTCGACCTTTGAGAACGGTCGGCTTAGATAGATCAAGGGTGAAGATTAACACTTATGGTATTTAGGAAGATGTGAGAAAAGGGTTCTTAAGATTTTGTCTTAAACTAAAATACTTAAAATATAAAGGTACATATCAATTCTGTCAGTGAAAGCCTTTTAAATAATTTCAGTTTCAACTTCTCACTCGTATTATCGTTAACAGTGATTTCTCCGGACAACCTTTGAATGGATAGGTTTATAAAATGACAGAAATTAAAACACAATAACCCTTTTCTGCCGACTTCCAAAAAGGAGACGGTACTCAATTCGACTGTATGTTTTTTTATGTGTGTTACCTCATAACTTTTTACTGGGTTAACCGATTTGAATGATTCTTTTTTTATTTGAAAGCTGGTACTTGTCGTGTGGTTCCATATGAATTTGATCAAGGTCGGACCAATAGTTTTTGAGTTATTCTTAATAACTCATATTGAAGTCGGCTGTACAAAATTTTAAATTTTAAATTATTATACATTGAACTCGACGGTAGACAAAATTTTGTATATTATATGGAATTTTGTTTTAAAAGTGTATACATTACCCCGACAATGAATTACTGACTCTGTGGAGTCGAGGAGCGGGTCAGTTTCTATTATTTACGAAGCGAATTCTATTATTTAAAAAGCTTCTAGGTGGAAAAAAATTATTCAATTCGTTCATTCGCCTTTCTAAAGTCCACGGCTAAACATAAGTCTTCGCCATAGATTATACGCCCTCTTAGAGGTGATATTTGCCACAGTTTTTTTTTTTTATAAATTTAAGCTGTTATCAGACGGAAACGGCTGCCTATCCTCTTTCGTTTGTCTCTGTCACCTTATACAACAGCCACAAAATTAAATAGGGTAGTGGATTCTCTTTTGCCTTCTCACTACCTAGAAATAGGCCCTGATAGAAAAATTTCACACTGTTGGAAAGTTGACCCAGTAATAAATAAAGTTGGACCGACCCATATAATATGTTCAAAGAAAATACCATATAATATATATATATATATATATATATATATATATATATATATATATATATATATATATATATATATATATATTGTTTCAGGGGTAAAATGCTGCTAGGCTACACGGATGCGGAGCTGGCGAATATGGGTGGCTACGATCTAGTGCATTACGACGACCTGGCCTACGTGGCCAGTGCTCACCAAGAGTGTAAGTATCATGCAAGTTAAAGACAATTCACGTCCACTGAGAACATACTATGGCTCCAATACGAATGGGTCGACCGGAGCAGGACTACGCTCTCACAGAATACCAGCCTGAAACACAAAACTTAATCGAGGATAGATATAGATCTTTGGGCCGCAGCGTCCACGTTACATGTTACATTACAGGGATTGGTTGTTCGCTTGTCACATTGCCTTTGTTGTAGGTATAGCACATTACTGACGACATTGACGCAATCTCTCATCTGATGTTCAACTACATTCTTGGTCCTAGTTGTGTGATCGGGGTACACTCGCTAGGGCCTTCTACTCAGTTTTCTTTGCCGAATGACCGTCTGAAAGTTGGATAGTACACCGTCCTAGAGGATCATCACCCAATTAATGGCATATCCGTCAGCAAAGTGGCCGTTAGTCACTTTGCTGACGGATATGCACACAGTCAATTCGCTCCTGAATTCGAATCCCGTGAATAAACAAACACCGCAAAAAAATAGTGGACTCGCCATTGTTAACTGTTACATTGTAATTACGTTACGTTGTAGTTACGGATTAGTAAACTGAAGTGCAATGGCTGGCCATATAGCTCGAAGAACCGACAACCGATGGGAAAGAAAGGTTCTCGAGTGGTAGCCTCGTACCGGCAGGCGAAGAGTAGGGCGTCTCTCCACTAGATGGCACCTGGTAAGACATGCAGGAAGTCAATGGATGCAGGTGGCTCGGGACCGTACTTTGTGGCATTCCTATGTTCAGCAGTGGACTTGTGAAGGGCTGTAATGATGATGATGAATGACATTGTAATGCCACGCTACACCGTATTGAGATACAGCACTGATCAGGGCGGCAAGTATCAATCCGACACAACCCGAGATAAATCAGATGCAATACGAATATAGTTATGTGATTTTCGACGCACGGAGTTGAAACACCGCCAACTTCCTGACACCGGACTGCTACTCAGATTGTCTTGGTAGAGTACCCAAATATATGATTTTGGCTTGGCCCGAAAGTCCAGCCCAATCTAACTACTAAAAACTAACGATTATAATATATATTTTGGTATTTTTATATTTACAGTACTGAAGACTGGCGCATCGGGGATGATCGCGTATCGCTTCCAGACAAAAGACGGCCAATGGCAGTGGTTGCAGACTTCTTCCAGACTCGTCTACAAAAACTCTAAGCCGGATTTTGTCATCAGCACGCACAGGCCTCTCATGTAAGACCATCTTTATTCCTATTTTTAAGCAATTTCAAATAAAGAACCTCCCATCACCTCTAGTTTTATGAACCGATTAAAATGATTTTTCATTAATTTATTACATTTTACTATGAGGTTGTAGTGACGCTGTAAAAATATAGACAACCCCGTATCGTTACTTTTACCTGATGGTAAATGGTTGCTGTGGCCCATAGATATCTACATCTATCCTCGTTTAAGAATCAAAATGCAGATGCGTTGTCACCCGTGAGGACTAAGATAGAATGCCCCTTTTCCAGTAAAAAGGGTCTGCCGTTCTCTACACTCACAATACGAAACACTGCAGTGTTTAGCTGCTATTTTACACTGGTATTCTGTGAGAGCGTGGTCCTTCCCCGGTCGAGCCGACCCATTCGTGTTACAACTATACCAGAATTATAGCTGCATCATGGCTCTACCACATTCCATAACCTTCTAGGTTTATGAACCGATTAAAATCATTTTTCATTTATTTATTACATTTTACTATGAGGTTGTAGTGACTGTGTAAAAATATAGACTACCCCGTATCGTCACTTAAGAGATGGCAGAGGAAAACTAAAAGAGGAGATGGGCATTAGCGTCTTCCTGACAACAACTCAAAATTATGTAAAACTGCGATTACCAACCTGCCTAACAAATGTGACAAATATGGCATGATCTCCTCTATGAGGCCATTTTTATAGGCTGTAATGGTACTGAAGGTGATCCCATATAAATTTTGAAAGAGAATTGCACTGCTAATGGGAAAATGGGGAATGAAGATTTAAATGTACCTGTTTATAATCAGAGGCCTTATGAATCAGTATCACTTACTTTTTGTTCGTTGGTATTGCTGGTTATGCGCACACGCGCACAATCTTTGGGTACTATAATATCTCCTCTCTCGTCATCTTCAAGGCAAGAGTGAATAGGCAGAGCACCATGTTCGGCTGCATCACCACTTACCATCATGCGGGATAGTAGTCAAGCACCAACTTATAGGTAATAGGTGAAAAAACTCCTAACTTTTAAAAGGTCCACGTATTTAATATTTACAACGTGATACAAACTAAAACCCTAATTGTAATTGATGTTTTACTATATTTCTTCAACAGGGAGGAAGAAGGAAGAGATCTCCTGGGAAAGAGGACTATGGACTTCAAAGTGAGCTACCTCGACACTGGCCTCACCAGCCTCTACTTCTCGGAAACCGAACAATTGTCTGGCTGTGAATCAACAGTGACGACACCCCCAAGAGCAGCGAGACGGTACAAGACCCAGCTCCGCGACTTCCTGTCGACCTGTCGAAATAAACGCAGGGTTCCTACTACGCCGGCTCCTCCACCTGTAGAGTACCTAGCAGCTGATGCTGTTGCTGCAGCATATACCAACCTAAATGGAGCTTACACAGGTCCTTACGGGGAATACCCTCCAGCTCCACCATTACATTACGCCCCGCCACCATTAGACGAGAGGTTCTTGGCGGCGGACAACCTCTTCCATCAATATAAGCCCCTATCGTACCATTATACACCTTATGCGCCCAACGGTTTCCTAGAACCAGCACCACCCCCCGGATACGAAGTAGCCCCCGCATATCATAGGCCACCGTCAAGGGAGTATACATACGTAGACACCACTGGGCGGTACATGAGTCCGGTAACGGGACAAGAGAGAAGATCACCCAGTGTGGTCCCTGGCCCAAGTCCCGGAGGTTCCAGTGGTTCGACTGAGCAGGAGAGGTTACAGCAGACTCAAGCTTCGGAGATGCCAAGGCAGACTGTCCTCATGTGGGGCGCGGGAGGAACTGCTCAAGAGGTCCCCGTGGAGTACTCCCCTCCTCAGGTTTGGCGCTACCATCCATCGCATTACCACACCGCTGAAGCGACTCAATGAATGTAGATGTTTGTTTTTTTTAATTTATGCAATCCTAATAAGTATTGGAGGGTGTCAGACCTATTTTATCTTATATCAATTTCGTATTGATCCTTAAATGACGGGCGACGAGATGAAAGTAAATAGTTACCATTGCCCATTATTACTAACAAATAAGGACAACAATAAAAATACTTTTTTTTTTTAGTAAAGACAGTAATTTATTATGAATTTATTCATAACGATGTTCAAAAACTTACGGACAACGTCATACAATAGTGAACTGTAACTTCTTAGCCGTAAAGTATTAATTTAAAAAAAACAATCACTAGAGGTACAGTTGAGCAAAAACAAGATTTTTTTTGTTAAATTATTCGATATTAACATTTTGCTAAAATGCAATTTTTCAGTCGCATGTGTAACCACATACTTTCTCCTTAGATCACATTCATGGTTAGATCTGTAGGAATAATCGGATGTTAGCTTACATTAAAAAAAAATAAGTCTAAAGTAAACAACATCGTACTAATTAATGGGTCCAAAAACATTCCAAAATTCCTTCTCTCGTCGTCGGCCGTCTATAGTGTAGGTCTCTTGACAAAAACAGGGTCTTTCCATTATCACCTTTGTAGATATTATGCCTATGTATATTTATATCAAGAATATCCAAATAATATCGATTTTAATACATGATAGTCCATTTTTATAGTTTAATTATTGACGTTTACTACATCACGCGATGCAATCACATATTTAGTGTTAGCAATTGTAAATATTTCTATTTTAGTCTAAAATAAGAGCTTGGGCTTTGAATTACAATATAATCACAGAGTGTTCGCTTGATATGAGTCTAATGATATAAAATGAAGCGAAGCGTTCTTAATTTGAAATAATACGTAAATTACTTTTTTTAAACACAAAAAGCGCAAGTAAGGATTCTGTCTCGGTCTTATAAAAGTTAAAACAAAAACTATTTTCATTTTACACTACATGCAATAGGTACGTTATTTTTTGTTTTATATAAATCGAAATACATTTCGGGTTAATAACATTTTATTTTTCGTAAAGAACAGACTGTTGACTTATACAGACATTAATTAAAGATTAATTAAAAAAAAAGCAGTTTTTATAAAATTTGTGAGTAATCTGTTTTTTTGCCTTATTGTTTGATTAAGTTTGAACTTTTAATTTCATAATATTTTTCATTTTATTAAAAGATTGCTTCGCTTTATTTACAGTATTATAATAAAAATTATATACAAATATTTAAAAAGAGTAAAACATATCAATTTTTCCGTTAAGCACACCCATTTTGTGCAATTGTCTCCATACGCAATGAAAACAAAATATGAAGAAATTTAGAAATTGTGATTATTTAAACATAGCGAATTTTGCACACAGAATATTATATATAATAATACTATTAACTATTTTCAATTATTTTTTTAAATATTATAATAAATTGTTAATCGTGATCGAATTAACCGCATAATTATCGAATTGGTTCTTTTTTTGGTAAACTATTAAATAGATGCCAAAGTCCAAATGAATTTACTATAATCTGATTCAAACTGTCAAAACTATGATGACTGTCTATGGGTAGGTATCTCTCAAAACGCAAACGATGCGAAATAAAGATGAATATAATTTAACATGGGGACAATTGTACACCATTCATTGCCATGCCAACGTTAATCCTTCAGCACTTTTCTGTAAATACACGTGCCTTGTACGACACTCTTGACCTTCAGAATGCCTACGTAGTTTGCAAGTGTATCATATGTTGTGATAAATTCTTTCATTTAATTGAATCGAGTTATTAAATAATTATTTGATAGCTATCAATTACGTTTCAACATTTAAAAAAACATTCAGATCTGACTGACACTAAACCCGACCCGTGCAACTTCATAGCTTCATAAATTCAATACCTTAGTGCACTAGCGCTTTGTTTATAATGTGTATTACATGAATTAGCATTACTTTGAGTATGGGATTATATAATTGATGTGCCTAAATTTATGCACATATTTTTGTAATAACTGAAACATGTTTAAAATTGGTAATTATTAAATAATAGTTCATAAGTTTGCTGTTAGACATAAACATCAATTTATAATTTACGTTTTTTTACATATTCTGAACAAGTAAAAGTCTGTTGTTTAGATATTCGCATTTAATATAAATATTGAAGCAAAATTTTTGACTTCATACTTTAGTCAAGGTACACGTGAATACAAACACCATTTTTAATATTGATTATGTTGTGCTTCAGTGAACCGGCGTTGGCAAGGCAAATCGGGGTCCGGTACTCTCCTGACGCAGTAGTATTAAGGATAGGCTAAAAATTTGTACTGCGGAAAACAGAGTGGGAAGAATGTTAATTGCTCAGTTTAATTGCTTTTAATTATTGTTTTAATATACAACACTGTTTATGGTCCTTCCTAGCTCCCAAAAAAAATAAACATTATCTATATATTTCTGTTTCGATATTCCATGTTACCGTATTTGCAATAATTTAAATAACCTTCAGTAAAATATATTTAAATTACGCAAAATTCATTCAAAAACTAATTGTGCAAAAATATAAGTTCGGCATTTTAGTCGAATAAAAATTTTTATTTGTCACATTGACTTAAAGAATGAATTGATCAAAGAATTAGTAATTATTTTAAAGGCAAACCTAGTACGCATCGTTTTAGTCCATGTTCCTAGGTGATCAGACTCCTCACACCATTATAATATAGGTACTCTGTGACACTAGTACAATTTGTAAAATTGTAACGTACTTTTCGGAAACATATTTTCCCAAATTATATTTTGGCATTTTCGCTAAGAATAAAAATAATAATGAAGTAGCTTAATTTATCCTAGGTCTTTTAAAACTATTTTTTGTCTCCACGATGAAACCAAATATAAAAAAAAAAACAATATGAATGTGCATTGCATGAACTTATCTTCACTGGAAATTCCCAGTTAAATGTATCTAATAATTAGAGTTATTTGTAGTTGTGAAAGATTGCGAAGGACTCAAAGCGAGCTGTCGTGCAAAATCAGACCAACACAGAATAATAGACGCGGCGCTGCGTACATTTCAATAGACGCCTAAACTTTTCTCAACTTTTTTAAATAAAACTAATTTTACGGATTTTATCGCGTATATTAACTTATTTTTATATTCCCGACGTTTCGGGTTTCTCAACTTCTTCACACGCATTCACGCACACATTTTTCTGTCCATGGGTTACAGTGCGCTGCGCCGCGCAATTGCGCTAACTCATTTCACTGCGTCGATGTGCTAACTCACTTTTTAAAAATGTGTTGGTGCACAGCGCAGTACCGGGAAATTCGAAAGGTGTATCTTGTATGTATGTCGTTATTTTATATTACTTTTATAAACTGCAACTCCGTGAAATGTCAAAGGAGTGATACATATGTACCTAATATGTGGGTAATCTTTCTTTTCTACATTTTATTTTACTTACTGGCTACACGGTATACGTGCTAGAGCCATACTGGAACTATATTAGTACTATAGTTGTAGCACGAATGGGTCGGCTCGACCGGGGTAGGACCACGCTCTCACAGAATACCAACGTAAAATAGCAGCTTAACACTGCTATGTTTCGTATGGTGAGTGTAGAGAACCGGAGACCCTTTTTACTGGAAAAGAGGCATTCCATCATAGTCCTCAAGGCTGACAACGCATCTGCATTTTGATTCGCAAACGAGGATAGATGTAGATGTATATGGGCCACAGCAACCACTTACCATCAGGTGGACTGTGTGCTCGTTTGTCACCCTATCCTATAAAAAAACACGGTTTTATTTTGACAGATGGCTGAGTTGACAGTTTAAAATTTTGTGGCTCCATGGCGCAATTTTGAGATGACGCAGTAAACTGCGCCTAGTAGTAGTAGAGTTACTGTGAGTTAACGCAAGGAATTTCGCTGAGTTGCCCGTGTCTAAATTTTCTTCATTTTTCTTTAACGGCCCGTAAAAGTCTACTTGCTGGGTGCATTAAATGTGCACCTGAAACCATGTTGTTGGATACAAATGATTTTAGGTGCATATGTGTGCGTGAGTGCGTGTACTAACAATGAATTGAGCATGGTCTTTGATAGCGCTCCGTCTACCTTTCTTTGTTAGTGTGTCTTTAAAACAACATTGTTTTACCAAAAAGAGAAATGTATGTCTTCCATACACAATTCCTTTCTTTGTTCTTCTTCCTTTTCTTCACAAATAACATGATAAATTACTGTTTTTTACTAAATAGCTTCAGATATTGCTATATGGTGTGTAGATTATAATCTATTACAAAAATATCATCTACTATTATTAATCAACTCCCCTAAATTAGTAATAACTATTTTCATTCTGTTTTTCGCATTAGAAATGCCTGTAAATTTTTGTCTTCTCACTGTATATTCCTTAAAATTGTATTGTCCATATACGGGTTATCCGAAATTAGTTTCCTATTATAAATCGAGTCACTAAGTAACTCTATCTTCCAAAAAGTGAGTACTGTTCTTCAATTTTAAACTTATATCTATTTTATTAGTCTTTTCTATGGATTGTCAAAGAAATTATCTCAAATAATCTTTTTTTTTTAATTTCTCCAACGCAAACGTAGAGATCTAAATTAAAATGTCAAGTAAAAAAAAAAACTTTACAAACAGTATTTTATATCAAACACTTGATTAACTTTAAAGCCTGGTTATATAATATAATTTATTTCAGTAGTTATGTTATTAATAATCTTTGGAGATTAAAAATTATTTATTCTTTATAATTGATGACTTTTGACATGTAATTTAAAAAAATATTGCGACTATTGTGCTATGTACTCACGAAACTATAATTCCAAGTTACCTTTTAAATTAAATACACGATTTCAACGAGAACTATTTACTAGTTAATAATTCGCAAAATTGTGATCTAACTTTCTATTCACGATATTCTTTTTATATAAATAATGATGAATACAACGTTTGCTCGAATAAATTAATAGAAAATGTAAA